GATAAAACAACTCACAAGTTCTATTAGCCTCTTTGGTAATGTAATAAAGTAGTTGGAAGTGGCCTTTTAGGAGTTAATTAACTACTGAAGAACATCAATCTAGCTCTTTGTTCATAATATGATAGCATTAGCATTACATCATGGTAACATGTGACACATATCCTAAGCCTACCGCCCAACGACCCCACCACGAAAGAGCAATTTCAAGCATCAAAGTATTAAAAAGAATGCCACTAATAATTTCATCAAGCTTTAACCTTTGTATGTTCCCATTCATCTTTCAACCAGATTAAGATGACTTCTCTTTTCAATTATATGGTCTATGCTCTATGCAGAGGATATCATACCATCTTCTTGGTTTGTTGGTAATTGCAGGAAATCTTCTACCTTAAAACCACAAGAGCAATTCGACTTGGTGGAAAGATTGATCGATTGGTTTTAAAACTAAATATAACATATTGGACTGGTAAATTAGCGTTCTAGAAAAAAATGGACCACACAACGAGATCCTGACTGTTAACAAATGTTATGACAGCCGTCAATAGGAAAGCAGGTTCTTAAAATATTGGAGAGCCAGAAGTAGTAGGGTCTCCAGATTCGATCATAAATAGTCAGCAGAATACAACTGCAAAAACACTAGAATCTCTACTATTTTGCCTGTAAGGCAGAATCTCAGATTAGGGAATACTAGACAAAATTTCCTACAGGCTTTGTTTGGAAAATATTTACTAATGAATATTGTTATTAGACCTATATTTGGATATGTGACTGAAGATGACAGGTGAAACTCGAAAGGTTTATGAGACCAGTTCCTTTTTCAGGTCAACAAATCATTGCAGAAGAAAAGAAAAGAAAAGAAAAAAAAACCAAGGCAAACTTGGCTAAAGCTATTCACATGACAGCTACTAAATATGTAAACAAATAAGAATGGCTAAAGCAAACAAACACGCATAAGAGTCGCACAATTTTTACATGGAAAACCTGTTCGAATAGAAGAGTAAAACCACAAGACCTCTGGTTTATAAAAAATAGCTCCACCATATCAATTTATTGTTACAAAATCATCTTCAAACAATCAAATAACAGCACAAAGAAAGAGAGAAAACAAGTTATACAACAAGAAAATTGAAAACAAATGAGAATGAAATAGGTACAGGTTCGGATAATGAAACACATATGCTTGAAGATGAACCATTCAAAATGCACTTGGCACTTACATTTTCTTCAATAAGACTATCTGAGACAGAAGTTTTGCACTTCTCTGATTAAGCCATTGTTTGATAAATCCATGAAACAAAAGATCTCAATCTGTTCAATATCATTGATTCCTAGATGCTGATGGTTGGCCTTTTTATTCATTTCCATCAATTACATCTACAAAGCAAGATGAAAATATTGGAATGCCTTTTAAAGGGGAAACTTACAAAGTTATAGTTCTATCATAACCACATTGATGCTATTGAGACCACTCTACCAACAATCACTTGGTGCACGGGGATCTCATTGTCAGTTTCTCTTCACTTCATTTGTTGATTGCATGTCCATTATTACATCACCAAACTCTAAGCTGTAGAGAGAGTTTATTCAAAACCAGGTATAATATGTTTTAGATTCAAAGAAAAAGGTTTGAAAATCCATACCATCTTCTTCGTTTGTTGGAAATTGAAAGAGATATTCTACCATAAAAGCACAAGAGCCTGAGAAATGGTGGAAGAGTTGATCCTTTGGTTAATTCCCAAGTAAAATTCAATGCTTTCCTCACTAGTCACTACTGCAAAATGTGTGTACGCATAAACTATGGCACCAAGATCTTTAAATTCCAAGAAAAATTGAAAGGACTGCCGCCATCATTTATACTAGTGAAGCTGCAGTGCTCTAGTCAAAGGGAAAAGATCATTGTTGTCAAAATCTAGATTTAAATCTTAAAATCTTACGATTTTACGATTTTAGCAAGACATTTCGTGTAAAATCTATGCCAAAATCTGAAATTCATAAAATCCAGGGATTTCACAGTAAAATCTAGATTTTATCGTGAAATCAGATGAAATCAGATAAAATCTCGATTTTACCTTCTGTTTGGCAGCTAGACTTTTAACCTATTTCCTTTTGGGCTTCTCATCTTGGGTTAGTGAGTTTTGACTAGATAACCCATAAATTAAACTCATTTTTCATTTTAAAAGCCCACAACCCACGCAACGCAACCACATATCAACATTTTAATCAGGAATTCAGGACAAATTTGATTTAACCATATAAAATTCTAAATTTAAGTCATCTTCTTCGTTTAATTTATTTGTGTTGTTGGATATTTAGATTTTAATTAGCTAATTTCAAGTTTCTAACTCTAAATTTGATTTATTGTTATTTAATTTTGATTTTATATAATTTATTATATATTATATATTAAATTTTGTAAAATCTCGATTTTACCGATTTGATTTTACGATTCTGATTTTACTTAGCCAAAACGATTTTAAGTAAAATCTCGATTTTGACAACCTTGGAAAAGATGTTCTCAAAATGTAGTTCACAAAGTCATAAGGGGTCCAGACTCCACATTTGAACATTAACAGTCAGCAAAGTAGCAAATGCAAAAACACCATAATCTCTAACCTGAAATGGAATAAATTCTTTGGTTAAAGTTTTGACTTAATATGGAATTAAACTTATCAAATTCGTAAATAGATTGAAGGCATATATGACTTCAAAGTAACAAGACAAACCTAGAGAAACTCTGGTTTAGACACTCAGAGAGAACCACTATAATTTGGTTGGGTCCCTAGCGTGAAAATCACCCTCCATTCATCATGATATTTTTTTGGTTTCAGAGCAGGAAAATTAGATTGCCTGCATTTATTTAAATGAAAATAGATGAACAAAACTGAATTGAATAAAGAAACACACAAAAGAACAAAAAAAACAAAAAAATCATACTCAAAATCTAAAAAAATTGCATTATGAAGGAAAAAAGCAAACCTCAAAAATGAAAGCTTTTGATTGTCAGTCTTATCAGTCTTCTACTCCATCAGAAATTTACTGTTGGCTAATCTAAGCATTTGATTATGCATTAATTCACAACGCAGCGATGGCTACTCAAGTGATTGATGCCTAAGAATTATGAAAATAACAAAGGAGCTATTGGTACAAAAACATTTGCTATGAAATTGTAAATATTTAGGATCACTGCTTTTCATGATCGCCGAAATTTGGTCAGAGACTAAAACTTCATCATTTGAATAACAGAATCATAATATGTTAGTATGTTTCAGAGAAGCAGACGTGTTTTCTTCAAAGTAAGAGATTAAAAAGAAATGCCTTACGGTTGTTAAACTTCTTGTTAGGGTGTACATAAATGATGTGGAATGAAGGGATTAAGGTTCTAGAAATTAAACTTACGCTGGAAGTATTTGAATTCCCCTTGCACCTCCTTGTAATGGATTCTGATATTGGGAATGTGTTGAGGTTTTAATGGTCTAATGCCCAAAATCACACTCAATCAGCAACACAATCAAACACCCAAGAACAGAATAAGCAAACAAAGTAAAATAAAGAGAACACCAGAATTTTACGTGGAAAACCCAAATGGGAAAAACCACGGGGCACTTACCCAGATGAAAAATCAATCCACTACTGAAAATGGATTACAACTTTCGGATCATAATCCGAATCTCTCAAAGTTCTAACACCAACAAGGGAGATTTTCTCTCAACCTCACTCTGTTTTTTCTGCACTGCTTTCCCTCTGTTTTTCACGCTCTAACCAATCTGCACTCTTTTCAAATTTTAAACAAGAGATTAAATAGGGAGCTTTTGGATACAAGAATAGT